ACAACTACATGAAACAGTTCTAAAAGAAATAACATCCACTACCATCATAAAACTGTAACGTGCATTTCAAGTTCCAAGGAGAAGAAGAAAAATTTACCAAACCTGTACTGTTTTAGAAATCTGAAAGTTACAGATCTGTCTCACACCAGAGACAGGCATGTCACAAATTTACTGAAGACGGAGCAAGCCTAAAGGTACTCGACTCTTGAAAGGCAGAGCTTTTGTGACCGACCTTTGGTACTCAACTGAAAAAGATTCTCTTTCAGGGAAACGTTGGGATGACTTGTCAGGAGAAAGGAAAAAAGTTGACTATTGAGAAGATTGTGCAGAAAATGCCTGTAACGGTGAATGAAACAACAGTGGAGGTGGTGAAGTTAATAGAGGAAGGAGTTTCAGTGGGTTTCAAACTGCTCCTGGCACTGCGAAGAGTACAAAGAAGAATGTGGCATCCAAAATTTAAAGAAAAGAAAGAATTTAAAGAAAGAAAGAATTTAAAGAAAGAAAAAATTTAAAGAAAGAAAAAAATTAAAGAAAGAAAAAAATTAAAGAAAGAAAAAAATTAAAGAAAGAAAAAAATTAAAGAAAGAAAAAAAAAAGGACTGGGACAGCTGAAAGAAACTGAGTCTTAGAAGATACAAGTGACTAGGAAAACTGTAAATGGTAAGGCAAAATACAAGTAAATGCAGTTTTAGCTACAATAGTCAAAATGAACGGTGCTTGAAAGATCTGGTAAGATGAAGATAATGCAAAAACTAAACAAACGAAGCTGGCAACGTACAAGTTAAAAGTTGCTGCTTTGGACTATAACAGAATATTGCCCCTACCACATTCTGTGTTTTCAGCACTACTGGATATCCTCAGCCCACAGCAATGACACATGCACTGAGAGGACGTGCCACTTCCACACAGTATGTCTCAATGAATGTTTCATCTGAGAAACTCTGATATTGCTTTCACAGCGAGTGTCCTTGTCATTTTACAAGATTTTTTAAATAATCCCTCCCTTTTAAAGAAATAAACAACTTAAACTTTTGTTGACTATAGTTAAACGTCACATCAGGGAACGGGCTGGGCTTGGTCAGTGGGTGGTGAGCAATAGCACTGGGTATCACTCATTTGCATATTTTATTACTGTTATTGTTATTATTTTAATATAATTATTATTTAGGTATTATTTTATTTCACTGATTATATTGTTCTTTTCTCACCTTACGAGTTTCCTTACCCTTGCCCCCCAATTCTCTCCTCTGTTCCCTGGGGTGGGGGAACTGAGCGAGCGGATATGTTTTGCTGCTAGCCCAGTGCCAGCCTAGTGCCAGCCCAGTAAAACCACCACATACATTTAGGTGAATTCTGTAAAATAAACCCTACATTCTCCACAGCACATATTTCAATAAATTGCTTCATTCTTTACCCTGCTATGCCATGAGAATTTATAAATAATAAGGGTCACCAGATACCAGAACGGATTGACTGGTGACATACTGTGAGATGCTCGAGGCTGAACCTGGGGTGCTCAATTAGTCAGTCACTCCAATTACTGACAGTGATTCCCATGCTAAGGAAAAAAATCCTGCATCAACAGGCAGACAGATTAGACAAGCACAGGGGATTTTAGTTTCTCAGTTCCCCTCAATACTTTCAGAACTGGTAGAAACAACAATTTAACCGACTATGTATCTTTTTTTCTGAGTGGTGAGTGGAGTGGGTTGCAGAGACTGCAGATAAGTGAAAATACACCCGTTCAACAAGAGGAGCTGCCTAAAGCAGTGCGAGAAGTTATTCTGCCACACGAGATTCCCAATAATTAAAATTTTTAAAAGAACAGGACAAAGTAAGCAAATTTAAAAAAAAAAAGAAAAAAGAAAAAAAGAAGTTCAAGGATCCCGAACCTTCTCTGAACTGTGCAGTTTCCAAACTTTTCTCCAAAAAACTGTGTTTGTCACTCATAGCTTCTTTGTCCTTCAGATTTTTTTGTCCTTTTATCTTTGTAGCTACTTTGGGGTACTGATAAAAAGCCGAAATCAGGGAGGTGCAAGGCAAAAGCATCAAAGGACTCCAGCATGTCAGCAAGCTAACTGCTGATAAAAGGAGCTTGTTTCTAACTAAAACATTCACCAAGGAAATAAAAGAAAAGTAGCCTGCAAAAACTACATTTACAGGCACATCTCACCACCTTCACTGTTACGCCAACCTCCCCCTCAGGACTGCAGGACCCACGGGTTGGCAAGGAAAGCAAAATGCTGAGAAACACATTTTTTTGCCGGGGAAGATGTCAAGAAATGGGACTCAAGAAGCCTGCCTGAAGCAACGTGCTACTGCTCGTCCCCCAAGGATCCTCCCATAAGGATCAACCCAAGACCCCAGCCCAGAAATCCCGTGTGCTGTTAACCAGTAACTGCAAGGCCACGGCATTGTACCTGCTTAGTGGGAACGAGCCTGTCCCAGACTCGCTGCTGTACCTGTATCATCACATCTTCCTTTAAAAAGAAATTCACAGAATCATAAGAATCACAGGATGTTGTGAGTTGGACCCACATGGACCATCCAGTCCAACTCCTGTCCCTGCACAGGACAAGCCCAGCATTCACACCATGTCCCTCAGGGCCTTG